AGCTGTAGAGAATTGTTCTTAATCTGTGCATCCTATTGAAGTCACATTTATGACCAATTCAGCTCTTCCAATTTTAGAGACTGGAGGACCAAATTAATGTATTACATCTATGTAGAAAATAGGCATCTTATTTATTCAAAAATAGCACTTATACAGGTAGTCCTCAACTTAAAACAGTTTGCTTAGCGACCAAAGTTATAACGGCACTGAAAAAAGTGACCTATGACCATTTTTCACACTTATGACCATTAAAACATCCCCCAAGGTCACATGATCAAAAGCCAGATTCACTTAACAACCATGTTACTTAATTAACAACTGCTGTGATTCACAACAACTGTGGCAAGAAAGGATGTAAAACGGAGCAAAGCTCACTTAATAAATATCTCATTTAGCAACAAAAAGTTTGAGCTCCATTGTGTTAGCAAGTTGAGGACTTCCTGGATAACTGTCCATCTTTCAGTCAACTCTTCCAATCAAAGATTATGTAATATAAAATCATATCAGAAACTATAAAACAGAACCAGTTAAAGTATAAAACATTAAAAACAATATGATGACACTACAGATCTCATTTTTGTAGCTTTCCCCAGCTGGACACTCTCTAGATAGAATCATAATATCATAGAGTTGGAAGGGACCAAGGAGGTCATCTAGTCCAACCTCCTGTTTGGAACAGGATCCACTGAAGAGCCTTTTGGATGTAGTGGTTAAGGAGCTGGGTTAAAAACTGGGACCCTGTGAATTTTAAGGCCTCCCTAAGGCATGAAAGCTGGCTAGGTGACTTGAGACCAGTCCCTCTCTTTCAACCCAACCTGCCTGACAAGATTGTTTTGGTTTGGAAAATAAGCTGTGGGAACATTTATATACATCACTTCGAAATCCCCACCCCCCAAAATGTAAGGTTCTACCATAATAACTTTATTTATATATATATATAAGTGAAATACCGCTCATGCATCATCACAAAATCTCCAGAACCGTAAAGCCTACAAACTTGAAATTTGGCATGTATGTTCCTCTTGGCTTCTAGGTGCTTGCTCAGAAAGGATTTTTCCAAATGACCATCAGAGCATTAGATTTCCTATATTATTATGAACATGCTCTGATGCTAAGGAGTTCTACTCCCCCTCCCAACCTGAAAAGAAATCTGTTCCAAATGCAAAACACAAGCAGAGGAGAGGAGATTCAGTTTTAATTTCACAGCACCAAGCAGCTTTAGTACAGAACAGTTGTGCTAAGCCACGCCCAGGCTCCTTGTTGTCTCCTTCTTGCTCACACAGCAAATACTGTTTCAGTTTCCAAACATCTCTCAACTCTCTCACACACTAATCCAGCACATAATTTCTCCAAGATCTTGTGTTGATATCCCTGGTTGCTTTAATTTTGCCTTGCTTTTCTTTGCAAAGTATCGGATGGCGGGTTGAGAAAAGATGAAATGCAAAAAAGAAAACAGTGGTACAGTTGGTCCTCACCTTACAACAGTTTGTTTAGTGACCATTCAAAGTTACAACAGCACTGCAAAAAAATTTGACATGGTCATTTTTCATAATTATGACCTTGGCAGCATCCCCATGGTCACGTGATCTAAATTCAGAGGATTGGCAACTGATTCATATTTATGACCATTGCTGTGTCCCGGGGTCACGTGATGCCCTTTTGCGATCTTCTAACATGCAAAGCCAATGGGGAAACCAGATTCACTTAACAACTAGGTTACTAACTTAGTGACTCACTTAACAACCGTGGCAAGAAAAGACGTAAAATGGGGCAAAACTCATTTAACTAGTCTTGTCCACTAAAAAATACTCCTTTTTAGTTGCCAGCAGAAAGAGAGTGGGGGAAAGCAGTGCATTCCTTAAATGCCTCACCTTGGCAGCCGAAGCTGTTGGCGCACAAGATTATTACTGGAGAGCATGATTGATGACTCTTGGCTATGGATGTGTCCCATTGGAGAACATACATCCAGGGGGTGGGGGGGAAGACCAGGGTCAAGGGGGAAATGAATGATGTATTTTAGTGTCAGCTGCACCCAGTTAACGCCGACAAGGTCACTCCTAATAAATCTATAATAAGTCTTTACTCTGAGAAATGGGGCTAGAGACTTATGATTTGAATGGGGGGTGGATTTGTTGGAGCCCTGATATGTCTCACTGGTTAACAACAGAAATTTTGGGCTCAATTGTGGTTGTAGATCGAGGACTACCTGTACAATAATTTTAGCCACTAAACGGTGGTTAATGTTAACCCCAATGGCCCGAAACAGGCCATATTCACACCCCGGAGCTGCAAACTCGATCGGTTCATTTTCACTAAAGTCAAAAATGGAAAGACCACAAAATGTAAAGCAAAGCAGCTTCTCTTTTTCCTCGTGGAATTTGGTCTCTTAAGAGTCAGCTGGATTGCAGGCATTGCAGGAAATAATTAAATAGATGCAAATCAAAATAGGGTTGGGATGAGATGAGATGACAAGTTGCAATTGGAAAAGGTGCCAGATTTAATCTTGTTCAATGCCCAAGACGGCACCAGAAGACAAATAACATACAAGCCACAAGATTACAGAGGATGATTCACATGATGCAGGAAATACAACTTCAGCAAAAAAGTGGTCAATGTCTGGAATACTCTACCTGACTCTGTGGTTTCTTCCCCAAACCCCAAAAACTTTAACCTTAGACTGTCTACTATTGACCTCACCCCTTTCGTAAGAGGTCTATGGGGAGGGGGCGTGCATAAGCGCACCAACGTGCCTACCGTCCCCGTCCTATTGTTTCTTTTTATCTTTCTTATATGTATCCATTTCATGCATTCATAACTATGTTTATACTTATACCTATTATCTTGTAAGTGATTGACAAATCAAATAAATAAATAAATAAAATAAATAACTTAGACCCTGGCTGCTTGGAGATGGGTAGACTTCAACTCCCAGAATTCCCTAGCCAGTATCCTTTAAGATATGTGGACCAACTCCCAGAATTCCCTAGCCAGTACGCTTTAAGACAGACGTCTTCAAACTTGACAGCTTTAAGACTTGTGGACTTCAATTCCCAGAATTCCTCCTCCAGTCATGTTAGCTCGGGAATTCTGGGAGTTGAAGTTCACAAGTCTTAAACTTGCCAAGTTTGAAGGCCCTCGCTTTAAGATATATGGGTTTCAACTGCCAGTATTCACCAGAGACTCTGCTTTAAATTGATTAGACTTCAGCTCCCAGAATTCTCCAGCCAGTAAGGGAATTGAAGTTCATACCTCTTAAAAGCATGCTGGCTGGGGAATTCTGGGAGTTGAAGTCCACCCATCTTCCAAGCAGCCAAGGTTGAGAAATACTGGCTTAGGTTAAAAAAAAAAAGGAAAAGCTGCCTAAATTTACATGCCTAAGGTGAGACTAGAACTCACCGCCTCCTACTCGGGCACCTTAAACCACACTAGACCAAACTGCCTCTGCAAAATGTCTGAAGGATGCCAGGAGTGCCCATAATGCAATTAATGCAAGAAATAAAAGAGCTGGGTCTCTCTAGCAAGAAAATTCTATGCTCCAAATATATTTTTCCCCCCTTTTGGTTGTGTTTTAATTATCCCGGAGGGTAAGAAAAACGCTTGGCCCTGATTTCCAAGAAAAGCAGATTTTCAAATATTTGAAGAACTACAAGAGGGGTGGGGGGTGGGGTGGGGGAGGAAAAACACTTCCTAAAGGTGTCACTTTGTTTTTGCAAAGCGGTGTCAATCTGCACCGTCTAAAAAAGTGAGTGTCATGCTTTGATCAGCAAGAAATCTTTAAGAGATGGCAGGGCTCCCTGGGAACTTGTCACACACACACACAGACACACACAGACACGAGATCTGACAGCACAATGGGGGTGCAAATAAAGGCTTTGGTGGATCTCTGGCACTTGCCAGATGAAACCCCCCTCCCCACAAAAAAAAAAAAAAAACCAACCCCACCCCGTCTTCTCTTCTTTTTCCCCCCGTGTCTCGAATTATTTCCAAAGACAATGGCTTCTTTAAAAGTACCCTACAAAAAAAAAAACCCGGGGGGGGGCGCATTGTTTCCCAGATTTCTAAATTCACCCTCCCTCCAACAAAGAGGGGCGGCCCCTCGCGAACAATGGTCCTGTTTCCTTCCATTTCACCCACCCATCCACCCCCCATTTAACATGCTCCACCAGATAGCTCCGATTTCCCCGGTTATTATTTATTTATTTATTTTTGCACCAGGCCACGTGCCGTCTCCTGGCGGGGGCGCGGAGCGGGGGGGGGGAGTATGTGGTTAATGGGGGGGGAGGGAAGGAAGGCAGAAGTCTCCCTTGAAGCCTTCCTGTCTTACCGGAAAAGAGGAAGAAGACCCCCACCCCAAAAAGAAGGATCCACCTTCTTTTCCTGTTTTTTTTTTGTGTGTTCTTTCTCTCTCTGCCTGTTTCACCCGCGGTGCTTCCTCCCTCCCTCCATGGCTCCGCTCATTCATTCCTTCGCTCACTCGGTCTCTACATTCCTTTCTTTGTAAATGCTCCCGCCTCTTTTCCCCGCACCTTTCTTTCTTTCCTTCCTTCCTTCTCTCCCCACACTCTCTTCCTTCCTTTCTCCTTCCCCTCTGCCTTCCTCCCTTCTCTCCCCCGTGTGCCTTCCTTACCCCCTCTTCCTCCCTCCTTCCGTTCTTTTCCTCTCTTTCCTTCCTTTCTCCCTCCCTCCTTTCTTATCTCCGCCCCTGTGTTCCTTCTTTACCCCCTCTTCCTTCCTTCCTTCCTTCCTTCCTTCCTTCCTTCCTTCCTTCCTTTCCTTCTCCTTTTTTCTTTATCCTCCTTCCTCCCTCCTTTTTTCTTCTTTATCCTCCTTCCTTCCTTCCTTTTTTCTTCTTTATCCTCCTTCCTTCCTTCCTTCCTCCTCCTTTTTTCTTCTTTATCCTCCTTCCTTCCTTCCTTCCTCCCTCCTCTTTTTTTCTTCTTTATCCTCCTTCCTTTCTTCCTCCCCTCCTTCCCTCCCTCCCTCCCTCCCTTCCAACCTACCTCGATCTTGTCCACGCTCCGGGCGCAGCCCACCACTTTCAACCCGTGCTGCACCAGCGCCCGAGCAACGGCCGCTCCGATGCCCGCCGAGGCGCCCGTGACCAGCGCCACCCGGTTCTTCCAGCGCTCCATGACTCCCAGAGCCGAGCCGGTTGCCGGCGCCTGCCTGCCTGCCTGCAACCGCGGTCGCTTCCTCCTCTCTCCCTCCCTCCCTCTCTCCCTCCCTTCCTGCCTCCCCGAAGCGCTGGAGCCCGTCCGGCGAAGCTTCTCTGGGAGGAGGAGGAGGAGGAACCGACCGGCGCACTCGCCTCCTTCTCCAAGGGCAGCCTCGCCCTTCGGCTGGCCGGGAAGCGCCGCGGCCCCCTCCCCGGGCAGGGTTGAAAGTTCCCCTTGCCTTTGGCCAGCGGGTGGGGCCTTCTCCCGCCCGGGGAGCAGCGCCAGGCCACAGCGGAGGATGCCACGCGTGGGAAGGGGGGCAAACCTCGGGGCAGCCGCGGGCTCTTATAGCCGGGGCCCCGACCTGCCCGCCCGGCTGCCTTTCTGCCACGCTGGTGCCTTCGCCTCCTCTCCTGCAGCCGGTGAACCAGCCGGCCTTTAAGATTATTCCATAGAATAACAGAGTGGGAAGGGGTCTTGGAGGTCATCTAGTCCAACCCCCCCTGCTCGAGCAAGAAAGTCCATTCCAAATAGTAGCCTCTACCTAGGATTGAACTCACAGCCTCCTGATTGTGAGGCGGGGAGGGACTGGAGGCTAAAAGGGATGAAGAAGGGTTGCTGGAATTGGGGGTGTCTGGTTGAATGAAAAGAAGGACTGTTGGGGTGACAGGATAGCTGCCACAAACTTATAATTATCCATCATTTGCCTGCATTGGTATAGGGTCTCCTGCTTGAACAGGGGGCTGGACTAGAAGACCTCCAAGGTCCCTTCCAACTCTGTTATTCTGTTATTTGTTATTAAAGAAAAGGGAAGTCAAGCTATTCTCCAAAACACCTGAAGGCAGGACAAGAAGCAATGGGTGGAAACTAATCAAGGAGAAACCCAACCTAGAACTAAGGAGGCATTTCCTGACATTGAGAACATGTCCAATTATTCAGTGGAACGACTTAACTCAGAAGTTATGGATGCTCCAACACTGGAAGTTTTTAAGAAGAGGTTGGACAACCATTTGTCTGAAGTGGCGTAGGGTTTCCTGCCTAGGCAGCGGGTTGGACTAGAAGACCTCCAAGGTCCCTTCCAACTCTGTTATTCTATTTTTGTGAAGCAAGGAAAGAAAACGGCTGACACAACAAACCAGCTGTTCTCTAAGCACCTTCTGGCCATCGCCCTCGATGTTCGTGTTCTCTATTGAAAGGTCTTCTTCACTGCAACTTTTCAATCTTGTCCCTGTTTAAACTCCGTGTGCGTGTATCAGACCTGCCAGCCCGCTGGAGCATTTTTCATGGCTTCCCTCTAACTTCCTCATCTTTGCTTCTTCCGTTGAACATCTGATAGCCAGGAGTTCGATCCTGACCAGCTCAAGGTTGACTCAGCCTTCCAATCCTTCTGTTATCGGTAAAATGAGGGTCCAGATTGTATGGGGCGGACAATATGCTGACTCTATAAACCGTTTAGAGTAGGGGTGTCCAACCTTGGCAACTTTAAGACTTGTGGACTTCAACTCCCAGAATTCCTCAGCCAGCAAAAAGTCTTAAAGTTGCCAAGGTTGGACACCCCTGGTTTAGAGAGTGCTGTGAAGCTGCCTATAAGTCTTAACTACTATTGCTATCTTCAAGGAAGTTTCTGGACGATTGATCCAAAGGCCCAGCTTAGTATGCACACCGTATGTTTACACCAATTGGTATACCCCAATGCTTCCATTCTGTATATGCACCCTGTATTTTTCCTGCCGTTTCATCCCCCTTTATTGAAGGCATGCCTCCCTCCATTGTTTTTATCACAGGCATACAAAAAATAGGTGCAAAGACTCTAGAAATTGTGCAGAGAAGAGCCACAAAGATGATTAGGGGATCTGGGGACTAAATTGTTTGATGAACAGCTAAGGTAAGTGTAGAGCTGTAATTGCAGGAATGTTCCTATCTCGGATGGCAAACCTCAGATAAAAGAATGTTTCCAAGCAAATACAACTCAGGCAAACAAAGTCACTAATCTAAAGGAGGATTAGAGAGAGGAAATAAACATATGTTAGACTTTAACTAGAGATAATTGTCTTAATTACTATGCTAAACAGTAACGAAAGTTAAGCAGTAACCAAAGTTAACCAGTGATGGAGGATAATTAAAAATGTGTACAAATGCAAGACTAGACTCCAATAAAGAACATCATGATTCAGTTGATCATGATCAAACACCTCGACTGCGACGTCATTACAACAGGCAAGGCTCTTCAACCTTGGCAAGTTTAAGTCTTGTGGACTTCAACTCCCAGAATTCCTAAGCTAACATGCCTGGAGGAGGAATTCTGGGAGTTGAAGTCCACAAGTCTTAAACTTGCCAAGTTTGTAGACCCCCTGGGCTTAAGGGAATTTAGGTACGTTTAGCCTAATGAAGGGAAGGATTGTGGGGGACATGATAGCCATCTTCCAACTTTTAAAGGTCTGTCACAGCAATGAGGTTGACAATTCACTCTCCTGAGGGCAGGACAAGAAGCAGTGGGTGGAAAGCTCCTCCCAAGGAGACCCAACCTGGAAATAAGGAAGAATTTCCTGACACTTAGAACAATTAGCCAGTGGAACAGCTTGCCTCCAGAAGTCGTGGATGCTCCATCACTGGAGGTTTTCAAGAAAAGATTGGACAAGCATTTGTCCAGGATAGTATCAAGGCTCGTGTCTTGGGGGTTAGACTAGAAGATCTCCAAGGTCCCTTCCACCCTACAGTTCTATAGCGGGGTTTGCAAAATATAGTGTGCAAGTAACCCAAAGAATTATTTCAGCCTAATGTAGGGTGCAAAAAGTGGTTAATTTATGAGGCGTCTCTCCTTTGAAACCACAAAGTCCAGCTGATTTTGAAAACAACGGTTAAGATAATCATAAATGGATATACTGCATAAAATGCCACCCTGGGCCACAACAAATAATTTCCAATAAAGATACATAAATTATCTCTTCTTCTTTTTTCAAGTTCCCTACCCCCTTCCCTTCCTCCCTTCAGCCTTCTTTTTTAAGAGTTGGCAGATTAAAAACCACAGAATGTAAGAAGCTTAAGGAAATCCCATTTAAAACACCAATATAACCCAACATGGAGGCTGTGTTTGCACAACACCCTGAACAGTAAACTAGTAAACATCTGAGCTGAATGTACTATACGACCTTGCTTCGTTTATGGATGAGTGGGTCACGAGAACCAAGGTTTATTGGAAAATCCATCGTTGTAGACCAAGGTTTATAACACAGCACAATATCCGTTTCACGCCTTTTCCTTTGGGCTTCCTTTACGCAAGCCCCTATTGCAGTATTTTTCAGCTTCAGCTACTTTTTGAGGTATAGACTTCAACTCCCAGAACTCCTGTGGAATTCTGGGAGTTGAATTCTGGGAGTTATAGTTACTGAGGTAAAGAAATGCTGTTCTATCATATACGCACATCTTATCCATATCTATATTTAGATTACACTCATATAAGTTTATCCCATTCTTTTTTTACTTTATGATATAAAGTCTATCTTTGGTCTAACCATTTATACCAGCAATTCCAATTGTTATAATATATTGAAGAATCTTTGTTTTTAAGGGCTAAAGTTAGTTTGTCCATTTCTGCACAGTCTGAGATTTTCTGGATGATCATCTGTTTTGTAGGTATGTGAGGTAGTTTCCAACACTGAGCAAATGTTAGCCTGGCCGCTGTTAAGATATGTATTGTTATATACTTCACTTTTTTAGGTAGCTGTTTGTCAAAAATCCCTAACAGGAAGGACTCTGGTTTATATTCACTCTGTTCTTTTGTTATCTCTTCTAGCCATTTTCTAACTCTTTGCCAGCATTTCTGGGTTTCCTTACAAGACCACCACATATGAAAAAAGGTTCCATCTATATTTTTACATTTCCAACATTTTGGACTCGTGTTGGGGTGCATCTTCGCTAACCTTGAAGGAGGAAGGTACCATCTGTAAAACATTTTGTAAGCGTTTTCTTTATAAGCTGCCGATTTAGTGATCTTATTGTTTCTGTTCCAAATCTTCTCCCATTCTGTTAATGTGATACTCCGTCCAACATTCCTACTCCAAGCTATCATATTCCCTTTGACTGTCTCTTCTTCTAACTCTACTTCCAGTAGGTAGTTGTAAAATTTAGTTATATTTGTTTTTGTTTGATCCTAGTAAGATTTTGTCTAAGTGCTGGAGTTTATTATTAATTCCGAAATCTTTTTTATCTTATTTATATCTACTGTAAATTTGAAGGTATACCCACTGATCTATTTTAAATCCCCGCTCTTGTAGTTCTTGTCATGTTTTCAATTTTCCTTGTGCATCTAATAAATCTTTATATTTGATCATTTTAGTAATGTCCAGATTGTTTGGGTGAATCATTGCCTCCATTGTCGATAACCAAATCGATACTTTTAAATAGTGTTTTTCCTGTACTTTTTTCCAATTAGTTAATAGTGAATCTCTAATTAAGTGTCTATGGAAATATGACTGATTGACTTTCCCTACTTCCCATAAAAAGGCGTGCCATCCCCTCTGCAGGTCGTGGCCTTCTAACAATAGCGTTCTTTTATTAAGTAAATTCACCCAATCTTTTAACCAAACTAGAGTAGCTGCCGTGTAGTATAGTTCCCAATTTGGAAGTGCCAATCCACCCCTACTTTTCAAATCCTGTAATGCCTTTACATTAATTCTAGATTTCTTTCCTTGCCAAATGAATTTAACTATTATTTTGTTCAGTTCTTCAAAAAAAATTGTATGCAATTTAATTGGAATCGTCTGAAATAAGTATAAGATAATAAGTATGAATAAGTATAAGAATTTTGGTAGAATATTCATTTTGATAGAAGCAATCCTGCCCAATAGTGAAAGTTGCAACCTACTCCATGATTCTAAATCTTTCTTTACTTCTTGCAACAATTTGTCATAGTTATTCTCTTTGAGTGTCTTACAATGTGGTGTTAGCCAGATTCCTAAATATTTAACTTTCTTTGTTACCTGTATTCCCATACTTACCTCTAATTCCTTTTTCTGGTCTTCTGTTAGATTTTTAGTCATTAATTTTGGTTTTTTTTCTATTGATTTTAAGTCCTGCTACTGCACCAAATTGTTCTAGTTCTTTTATCAATTTATGTCCTTTTTCTATTGGTTCCTCCAAAAAGAAAACCATATCATCGGCAAACGCTTGCAATTTGTATTCTTCTATTTTAATCTTCAGTCCTTTAATCTCAGGATTTTGCCTAATTCGTGTTGAGTGTTTCTAAAGCGAATATAAAGAGAAGAGGTGAAAGGCGGCAACCCTGTCTGACTCCTTTTTCTATTTTTATTGGACCAGTGTATTCCCCATTTATTATGATATTGGCCTGCTGTGTATCGTAAACTGTTGTTATGATATTTTCAAATTTGGTGCCTGAATTCATATTATAAACTTTTTGAATTAAGAAGTGCCAATTTAAGTTGTCGAATGCCTTTTCCGCATCTAAAAACATGAGTGCAGATTGTTTCTCAGGGTGGGCTTCATAAAATTCTAAAACATCTATTACTGCTCTTAAATTATTCTTTATCTGTCTAGTTGGGAGAAATCCATTTTGGTCTTCATGTATGTACAGATTTAAAACTTGTTTTAATCTGTTGACTATAATAGAGGAGAATATTTTATAATCAGTATTTAGGAGTGAAATTGGTGTGTAGTTGTTATCAGATTCCTCCTTCGGGATCAGCGAAATCAATGCTCCCCTCTACGAATCTGGCATCTTAGCTACCAGTTAAGACCTCGTTAAACACTTCCATCATCAGTGGTCCAATTTGTTCTGCAATTGCTTTATATAATTCTGCCGGGATCTCATCTGGCCCCGGAGTTTTATTATTCCCTTGATTCTCTATTGCTGATTTCAATTCGGACCATGTAATATCTTTGTTTAATAATTCTATCAGTTCATCTCCAATTACTTTGTCTTTCGTTTCATCTGAGTAATTTCTTATTTTATCCTCATTGATTTCTTCTTTATATAACTCTTCAAAGTATTTGTGTACAATGTCTTTTTTCTTTTCTATCTCTTGTTGTATGTCGCCCTTCTCGTCTGTTAATTGGTATATCAATCTCTTTTCTTTCCTTTTTTTAAGTTTATAAGACAGCCATCTTCCTGGTTTATTAGCATATTCAAAATAAATTTGTTTAGTCATTTTCAAATTTATTTCCATTTCTTCTTGTTCCATTAAGTTCAAATTGTGTTTGGCTGTTATTATCTGATTTTGTACTCTTTGATTTTTAGGGGTCTTTTGTAATTGGATTTATATGAGTATAATCTAAATATAGATATGGATAAGATGTGCGTATATGATATAAATTAAGAAGAGAAAAGATCTTACAAACTGTCGAAAATGAGAATGTTTTTAAGTGTTCCTTTTTTTTCTTTTCGCGTTTCTTTCTTTTTTCCTTGCGCTTTTCTGGCTTTTCTATTTGTGTATGGGTTGTTGATTTGTTTTAAATTGTAAAATTAATAAAATTTGTTTAAAAAAAAAAGAAATGCTGTTCTATTGGATCTAAGTTTTGGTGTCAACTCTGAATTTGACCTGACTGGTCATGTTGGAGCTTTAGTGCTGCCACACTGGAGCCAAGGGATAGGGAGATAGGGGATTAGAGAGAGCTGGAGTTGTGTAGTCAAAACAAAATACTTTATCTTGGGAACCAAGGACATTCTCACACCTGGTCGGAGGAAGGCGGAGTGATGGCGCCAGACAGCGCCTTGATTGGACCACGTGTTTGGGGATGAGAGGAAAACTTTTAATTGGGTGAAAAACTGTGGGAATCTTCAGACTCTGTTTTCACCAGATCTGTCTGGTTGGTTCTGCAACCCAACAGGACAGACACAGACTTCAGAGGATAATTAGGACTGCAGAAAAAACAATTACTACCCACCTGCCTTCAATCGAGGACCTGTATACTGCAGGAGTCAAAAAGAGGCCTGTGAAAATATTTACAGACCTCTCACATCCCAGACATAAACTGTTTCAACTCCTTCCTTCAAAACGATGCTATAGAGCACTGCATACTGGAACAACTAGACACAAGGAGTTTTTTCCTGAATGCCACCACTCTGCTAAACAAATAATTCCCTCAACATTGTCCTATTTACTAAGTCTGCATTACTATTACTATTAATCTTCTCATCACTCCTTATCACCCATCTCCTCCCACTTGTGACTGTATGGCTGTAACTTTATCGCTTGTATCCTTACGATTTATATTGACTGTTTCCTAGTATGATTTGATTGCTTATTGTAACCTATCACTATCATTAAGTGTTGTACCTGATGACTCTTGACTCGACGAATGTATCTTTTATGTATACTGAGAGCATTTGGACCAAATTTCTTGTGTGTCCAGTCACACTTGGCCAATAAAAGAATTCTATTCTATTCTATTCTATTCTACTCCATTCCATTCCATTTCCAATATTCTATTCTACTCTATTCCAATTCCAATAAATATTCTACTCCTATTCCTATTCCTTTCTACTCTATTGTACTCTACCGTATTCTACTCTACTCTGTGCCGATATGATATTTCCAATAAAGCTATTCCTTGAAGATGCTACCTGGCTTGGAGTTTTTGCTGGATATGGATCTATTACTTGGAACCCTGACACTCGGCCTTTGGCGGTTCTCCTGAAAACATGCAATCTAAGAAAGGATGGGAGACCACCAGGAAATTTAAAAATAAAATGAAGAGGTGACCATGGCAGGCCACTTTTACACCAGTGCCAAGCAATGTGCATGATGGTACTTGCAGAGGCTCCAGGAGTTCATCTTTTATCATGATTACTGGATCCATAAGCCACAAACTATGGGATGCAATCAGGCCTTTTAAAGTGATCACTTTGAAACCTTTTTTTCCCCTCCTCTATTATGAACGAGGCAGCTTAACCAGCGCATTGCTGTTAGCCGTGTTCTCAGCCTAAGTGATAAAATATTCTATCATATATATATATATATATATATATATATATATATTGTCAACCCTTAAAATTTAAACCTAACGCTGGCAAGCTTCCCACATCCTCCGATTTCACGAACGACGGCAGAAACAAACACACTTATATTTTTTGTCTTTTCTTATTTTTTTACTATGCATCTTAATAAATATTCTTTATTTTTTAAATTTTGCACACCGCGCTTCCGACATATTACATCCAGAACATCTTTTTTAAATTTTTTTTTTTTGCAAATGGATGTCTACTTTGTAAAATCCTTTTTTATATTGAGCTCATTGTCATTTCTGTACAGAATTATAAGTACAACATTACTTTTGTCACTAAGCTGCTTTTTTTTTTTCCTGTTTGATAAGTGTCACAGTTAAGAGAAACATTGAATGAAAAGAGGTGGCTTTTAAATTAGGATAAGTTTTGGGGCTGGTCTCAGTTCTCTTTGTCAAAAACTAGAGACCAGGAAGCCTGGAAATACAGTAAGATTGGGGGCAGGGAACTAAATTAAAGGGATTAAATTCCACCAGCCTCCTGCAGAGGAAAGAAGGAAAGAGAAGGGAAGAAGGGAAAGGGGAGAGAAAGAAAAGAGAAGGGGAAGGGAAGGAAAGAGGAAAGAGAAGAGGAGAGAGAAGAAAGAAGGGGAAAGGAAAGGGAAGAGAAGGAAAAAGGAAAGAAAAAAGACAGAAAGGACAGAAAGACCGAAAGAAAAGAAAACCACCGTCTTTTTTTTTTTGTCTTTTTTCCTTTTTAAAAAGATACAATTTTGTTTAGTCGCTAAGAGAGACGGTTTTCCGAAGACAGAGAAAACGCGCAAGTAGTCATTTTTTGACAGTTTGACTGAAAGACAGAGCTAATTTTATTCGGTTTAGTTTGCTCCAGCTGTTGTCAACCAACCGCCACACACCGGCCTCTTGTGATCGTTCAGGCGGCAGTATCTGTTGAATTTCTCCTTCAGATGCTGTCGGTACCGCTCTCTATTGCTGTAAAAGGACTCGTTGTTGGCCATGAAGGACTGGATCTCATCTTGCGAGATGAATATTTCTTCATCGGAAGTGCATTCGGACTCATCCTGAAAAAGCACAAAGGGAGAGAGACGAGAAATGCAAAAAACCCTCAACTTAACGGCCGTTCGTTTAGGGGATGTTCGAACTTGCCAGGGGTGGGCAGCTGGGGGTTCGCAGGAGTTCGGGAGAGCCCAGGGGTGGGATTCTACCAGTTCGCACCTATTCACTAGAACCGGTTGTTAGCATTCTAAGCAGTTCGGAGAACCGGTTGTTAGAAGAAATTACTGGACTAATCCTGTAAGGAAGGCAGGAAGGAAACATTCTGGTGTTGCTTACAGAAACTGCCTCTCCGTTAACCCTTATTACATTCTTGGCAGGACTAGACTTCCTGTCTCAGGAACTGTCTCTGGAGTTTTTCCCCCTCTTTTGCTGGTACTTAGCCTGTGTGGAGTGACCATTCAAAGTTACAACGGGCACTGAAAAAAGTGACATATGACCCTTTTTCACACTTAGGACTGTTGCAGCATCCCCACAGTCATGAGAGGCCAGGCGAGGAGATGCGTGCCTCGATGTGAGTGATGTTGAGTTGGCCGCGCCCAGCCAATCACATGACCACCAAGCCATGTCCACCCAGTCACAGGACCACCAAACCACGCCCACCTCCTAAGCCACGCCCACAGAACTAGTTGTTAAAAAATTTGAATCCCACCCCTGGGAGAGCCCCTAACTAAGATTCTGTGCAGTTCAGAGAACCCCCAAATCCCACTCCTGGCAGCTTCCTGCCCATCCCGCTTCTCCCAGGAGTCCCCACGTGGCCCGTTTCGGATGCAGGTAAGGGCAGGGTGCACGCGCTGGCTCAGGGAGGGCGAAAAACATGCCACGATGAAGTTCGGGAAGCCTGGAAATGGGCCCGTGTCCGGCTTCCAGAGAGCCTCCGGAACCCGGGGGGGGAAGGCAGTTTTCACCCTCCCGGAGGCTGAAGAAAGTCTCCGGAGCCTGGGGAGGGCAAAATCACCCCTCTTCGCCATGGTGTAGGAGGCCAACTAGGCCACGCCCACCATGGCCACGCCCACCCAGCAACTGGGCAGAAAACCCACGGCTAAAATTTTTGAAGCCCACCCCTGACAATTGTCCTGAAAAAGGTTAAGTGTTTCACACTTACGACTGTTTGCAGCATCCCTATGGTGAACTGATCAAAGCCCAGTTTTAACTTTCCCGGGGGGGGGGGGGGGGGGGGGGGGGGGGAGGGAAAGTAACCGTTGTTAAATGAACCCCTTTTTAACCAGTGGGTTACTTGCAGGATGGTGATAGCAATTGCACTTTAGAGTTATATACCGCTTCACAGTGCTTTACAGCCCTCTGTAAGTGGGTTTACAGAGTCAGGATCTGGCTCCCAACAATCTGTGTCCTCGTTTTACCCAACCTTGGAAAGATGGAAGGCTGAGTCAACCTCGAGACGGTCAAGATCGAACCTGGCAGTGGCCAGAGTTAGTTTGCAATAGCAATAGCACTTAGACTTATATACTGCTTCACAGTGCTTTACAGTCCTCTCTAAGTGGTTTTGCCCCCAGCAATCTGAGGGCTCATTTTACCGACCTCAAAAAGATGGAAGATTGAGTCAGCCTTGGATCAGGTCAGGATCGAACTCCTGGCAGTGGACAGAGTTAGCCTGCCGTAGCAATAGCACTTAAGACTCACATACCGCTTCACAGGGCTTTACAGCCCTCTGTTTACAGAGTCAGCATCTCGCCCCCAACAATCTGGGTCCTCATTCCATCGGAAGGATGGAAGGCCGAGCCAACCTCGAGACAGAACAGGATCAAACTGCCGGCAGTTGGCAGGGGTAGCCTGCAATACTGCATTCTAACCACTGTGCCATCAAGGTTCTTAGCAGAAGTATATTCTGGTGTCTGGCATTAAAAAAAAAATGCTGAAAATTGTGATCACAAGACGTGGGATACTGCAAAAAGTCTTAAGCACCCAAATATGATCTCGTGATCGTGGGGGTGTGAGTGCCACTGGAACTTTGAGCCTGGGTCCTAAGCTCTGGGAAAGTCTGTTGTAATGTCCAAAAGTTGCAAAGCAACCACTGTTAAATCAAGAACGTCCTCTTCGAGGTAGTTCACTAAATCGAGAATGTCCTCCTTGTGGGACAGTTATCTTTGGACTTAATTGCTTATGATGTATTCAGTCCAGAGTCACAAACTGTGAGTGATGTGGGAAGAGAGCCGTGTTAGTCTACAATGGCAAAATAAATAAATAAACAAATAAAACAAACAAACAAACATCAGGAGCCTGGTAGCATCTTCTCTGACTAACACACTGTATTAAAAGACAGAAGCTTTTGTAAGCTGCAGCTTAGATTATCAGATACCACGAGGGGTTAGACTGAGACGAATAGAGCATTTAAATCGGATGGCTGAAGGAACGAATAAATAAATGACATCGATTAATAAGAGAAATAAATAAAGTGAAATAAATAAATGGCAAAGATGATTAGGGGACTGGAGGCTAAAACATTACGAAGAATTTCAGGAATTGGGTACGTCTAGTTTCATGAGAAGAAGGACTGAGGGTGACATGATAGCAGTCTTCCGATATCTGAGGGGCTGAGGGAGTCAAGCTATTCTCCAAAGCAGCAGAAGGTAGAATAAGAAGCAACGGATGGAAACTAATCAAGGAGAGAAGCAACCTAGAAATAAGAAGACATTTCCTAATGGTGAGAACAATTAATCAGTGGAACGATTGGCTTCCAGAAGTTGTGAATGCTCCAACACTGGAGATTGGACAACCATTTGTGTAACACGGTGCAGGATTTCCTGCTCCAGCAGGGGGTTGGGCTAGATGACCTCCAAGGTCCCTCCCAACTCTGTTATTCTATGGTCTATATTCTATGAGTAAGTGAATGAATATAACAAATAAGTGAATAAATGATAAGGAAATATATAAGGAAATGAATGAACAAATGGGTAAGTGAATGAGTAGGTAAATGAATGAATAAACGGGTGAGTGAATGAATAATTGAATAAACAAATGAATAAGTGAATAAATAAATAAAAGTATGAACAAATGGGTAAGTAAATGAACGGATATTTGAATTCACGAATCTCTCACATTCCCCAATCTTACCTGAGCTAATATACCAATTAATTCTCCTGATCATGAGCTCCAACATTCCTTGGAAGATACAGACTTCACCAGCCTGGTCCATTTTAACCAAAGTTGCTTTTCTCACTCCTCTCTCTTAGCAAAAGCAGACTGCAAGGCCAACTCCTTCTTAAATGTCCCAGAGATGCCTTTTTTTAAAAGGCAAATGGACTTGATGTTTTGCTTCTCATCCAAGAAGCTTCTTCAGTTCGGACTGAATGGTGGAGGATGGTCTTCTTCTGAGTGGATAGCTTTCTCTCAACAGAGAATCAGAATAGAGATGGAAGGGACCTTGGAGGTCTTCTAGTCCAGCCCCCTGCTCAAGCAGGAGATCCCTAACCACTTCAGACAAGTGACTGTCCAGTCTCCTCTTAAAAACCTCCAGGGACGGAGCACCCACAACTTCTAGTGGCAAGCTGTTCCACGGGTTAATTGTCCTCACTATTAGGAAGTTTCTCCTTAATTCCAGGTTGCCTCTCTCCTTGATTAGTTACCTAACATTTTTGCTTCTCTCTGATGCTTTGAAAAATAAATTGACGGATACGACGCCACCTCTCTCCTGCTTACAACACCATCCTTTCAGCAGCTCCCAAAAGGCTCCACACCCATTCGCACTCTGATTCAGGTCACCCGGAGGGCACAGATAAACCTCCAAGTGGCCTCAATGATCCTCAGAGAGAGTGCAAACGACCAGATGAGCGCAAAGGAGTATACATCCTCCCATCCTCCACCATTCGGTACAGAACTGAAGAAGCTTCTTGGATGAGAAGCGAAACCTCTTCAAGCAAAAAAAGCAAAGCCAGCCCAGTTGCCCCTTGGGAAAAAAAAAAAGCACCTTTGGGGCGGGAACAACCGTGGCCTGGATGACGGAGAATCTCCACAGACATATGGGATGTCCTTTGAGACTTACCAAGAGCTCCACCAAACTCTTTGCGCCCTTCCCTGATTCCGGAGCAGGAGGTGCCTCTGAAGATTCCGCACGCAACAAGGCTGTTTTCCTGTGCTCCAGCCAAGGTACCGTTGCGGGCCCAGCTTTTTCTATGCGACAACAGATTTCGGCATGGGGGTCTTTGGTCTTGTCTCGGTGGTAGTCTGTGTGCGTGGCAGTCACCGGACCCTCTCGGTTACTGGTCTCCACCAGGCAGCTGCTCAGCTTTTGGATCTGGAGGGAGGGGGAAAAAAATCGCCATAGCGCTTAGACTTATAGGCCGCTTCACAGTGCTTTACATCCCTCGCTGAGTGGTTTACAGAGTCAGCCTATTGACCGCAACAATCTGGGCCCTCATTTGATCGACCTTGGAAGGATGGAAGGCTGAGAGGGGATCGAACTCCTGGCAGTGGGCAGAGGTAATCTACAATAGCACTAGCAAGAACACGTAGACTTATATACCGCTTCACAGTTCTTTAAAGCCCTCTCTGAGAGGTTTACAGAGTCAGGGTCTTGCCCCTAACAATCTGGATCCTCATTTTACCCACCTTGGAAGGATGGGAGGCTGAGTCAACCTTGAACCGGTCAAGATCGAACTCCTGACAGTGAGCACAGTTTGCCTGCAATAGCAATAGCACTTAGACTTATATACTGCTTCACAGTGCTTTACATCCCTCGCTGAGTGGTTTACAGAGTCAGCCTATTGACCCCAACAATCTGGGTCCTCATTTTATCGACCTTGGAACGATGGAAGGCTGAGTCAACCTTGAGCCGGTCAGGAATGAACACCTGGCAGTGGGCAGAGTTAGTTTGCAATAGCAGTAGCGCTAAGACTTATATACTGCTTCACAGTGCTTTACAGCCCTCTCTAAGCGGTTTTACAGAGTCAGCATATAGCCATTTATTGTCCCCTTTTTGACATCCAATCACTGATTGGCTCATTGGACATTCCCACTCACTCTTGGGGGGGGGTTATACTGACCACTTTGTGAGAGCTTGGTTTAGACCACTCTCTCTTAGACCAAGAGAGCTAGGATTTATCTGTTTTGTGGAGCTGGACTGAAATCCACCTGGCAGTTTTGCAAATCTCCTTCCTGGTAGTTTCTTTTTTTACCTTATTCTCAAGGGCCTTAAGAATTTATTTTGCATTTCCCCAGGTAGGGTTTGTTGAGCTGTCCTTGTTATTCAGGAGACAAATGATGGGGACAACAAATTTTGTCAGATTTCTTTCAATCCCTCTGAAGTTTGCCCGCCTACCCTCATTTTCCAACTTGCTCAAGTCCTGGGAAGGGTGTCATTTGTTTATTTAGATCTATTTATATGGTTGCACAACTCAGATGTAACTTTAGTTGGGAATAAAAAAGAATCATCAAATCAAATGAAAAAGACAACAATGCTAACACATCGTATTAAAACCAACAGACCATAGTCAGAACTCAAAATTGAAACTAATCCATCAGAACTAACCAAATCAGAACTAATCAATCAGAAATCAGAACTAATCAAATCAGAATAATCAAGAAGAAACCAGAACTAAACCAGAACTAATTAAATCAGAATAATAAATCAGAAACCACAATTAATCAGTCAGAAATCTAAACTAATCAATTAGAAATCAGAGCTAATCAAATCGGAATAATCAGAAATCCTCCTCAATCAGAACTATTCAAATCAGAACTAATCAATCAGAAACCAGAACTAATCAATCAGAAACCAGAACTAATCAAATCAGAATAATCAAAAAAATCAGAACTAATCAACTAGAAATCAGAACTAATCAAATCACAATCGATCAGAAATCAGAACTCATCAGATCAGAATAATCAAATAAACCAGAACTAATCAAAAAGAACTAATCCATCAGAAATCAGAACTAAACAAACCAGAAAAATCAATCAGAAATCAGAACTAATCAGTCAGAAATCAGAACTAATCAAATCACAACTTAATCAATCAGAAATCACAACTCATCCATCAGAACTAAAATACTCTACAATTCATCAACTGAGTATCCACTCATCCTGATGCAAGCTTTGGGGGGACACATCCATGTTTTGTATTTTTGGCGGGGGAGGAACTATCATTACAAATCCACCCCTCCTGAGTCACACCAGATGGCACAGTTTTGGGGAAGGGACCCAGAGTCTGTCCTCCCTATTGGGATATATGCAGGGATGGGCTGCTACTGGTTTGCCCCGATTCGGGCGAACCCGTAGCTAACCGTTAGCTAATTTTATGGCAGGTTCAGTGGACCGGCAAATCCCACTCCTGGATGGCCCCTCCCACCCTTACCCCTCCCCTCCCAGGTGTCCCGATGCGGATGCCAGGTAAGTGTAGGGCCTGCATAGATGCTCGGGGAGGGCGAAAAATGGGCCTCCCGGAAGTTAAGAGAAGGCCAGAAATGGGCCCATTTCTGGCCTCCGGAATCTGGGGAGGCCATTTTCGCCCTCCCAGAGACTCGAGGAAAGCCTACAGAGCCCAGGGAGGGCTAACTCCCCACCCTCCGTACAGGAGGCCGACTAGGCCACGCCCCCCATGCCCACGCCCACCCAGCAACCAGGCAGAGAACCGGCTGCTAAAATCACTGAAGCCCACCCCTGGGTATATGGGATGCATCAACGCCCCCAGGAGGATTTCCCTTGGAATTGATGAATTCCCCTGGAGTTGCACTCGGCTCTGCCTCTTCAGGAAAGGTCGCGAAACTTGGGCTCTCCCAGCTGGGGCCGGGGCCGGGGCCATTAGCAAACCCGATAACCGTTCGACCGTTGCATTGTTATATTCTCCAAGGCCTTATTGTTACGTTTATCCCCCACCCACCCCCGTTCCCTTGGGGCTTTACGAGGAGGCGTTTGAAAAGCAACCCTCAGCTGCTTTTGACGTGAGGTGGCCTCCTTCCAAAATCAACTGAACCAGCCAACCGACCAATAAAATTTGCAAATGGGATGACCTGATGATAGGCAGGACCTCGGCGCCCAAAACCGTTTGGCAGCCTCGCTGCTGCTAAAATGCGAAGACGCTCGGCCTCCGCTCAAAACTGTACGTACGGAGGTTCTTTTCTCCTTGGAAAGAAACACCCACAGCCTAAAGCGGTGAAGGCTTTTTTGTCGTCGCGTGCCGAAAGTCCACATATGCGCAGGCGTGCACACACGTGCCTGCGCCCGTAAGGCAATGCACACGCGAAACCCCCCCCGTACTCCCCACCCCACCCCCTGCGCATGTGTCTCCCGTATGCGCCCTGCCCCCCCGCACGCATGCGCGGCAGATACCCGAAAATGAGCCGGCTGACGGGAGGTGCGCGCACATGTGCAATGGAACTGAATTTGGGGCGACGGCTCGCATGCCCGCAGAGATGGCTCTACGTGCTACTTTCGGCACACGTGCCATAGGTTCACCATCACGGACCTAAAGGATACCACAGCCAGAACTAAATCTTTCACCAAAATGCAAGGAGTATGGGAAAAAAAACAAAACGCCAAACTTTCTCACAATGCACAAATTTTAACCACACACTGCAGGTACTCCTCAAGTTACGACCACAATTGAGCCACTGCTAAGTGAGACAGTTGATAAGCGACTTTTGCTCCATTTTACGACCTTTCTTGCAATAGTTCTTTTTCTTTTTAGAAAAAACTTTATTAATTTTACCTTTAAAAAAAGCAACACAACTACAAATTATGTACAACAAAAAGACAAACAGGTCTTAGCATAGGCCAAGAGGGAAAGAGAGGAAGGCTTGAGAGAAGAAAGAGGGAAAAGTAAGGGAAGGGGAGGGAAGAGTAGGGAAAACAATTAAAATAAAACCATATTTTTTGTGACTGTCTGTAAGGTCCTTTCTTCTTCAAAAATATCGTCGGCGGTGCTTTTCTTTATCTCTGCTTCGGAAGCCCTCAGCCTTAATTTTCCTAGAGGTGATCTATCTTTGGTTTAGCCAATTATACCAAGGATTCCAATTGTTATAATAGGTTGAGGATTCTTTATTTTTTAATGCTTGGGTTAGTTTGTCCATTTCGGCGCATTGTAAAATAGTTCTTAAGGGAATCACTGCAATTGATCAGTTAGCAACCTGCGGATTTAAATGAATCGGGTTTCCTCACTGACTTTGCTTGTCAAAGATTGCAAAAAGGGATCACATGACCCCGGGACATAGCAATGGTCATAGGTATGAACCAGTGGCCAAGCCTCTGAATTTTCATCACATGATCAAAATTTCTCAGGGACACGGCAAAGGTTGTAACTGTGAAAAAGGGTCATTCAGTCACTTTTTTTCACTGCTGTTGTAACTTTAAATGAACGGTCACTAAATGAACTGTTGTAAGTCAAGGACTACATGTACATACACCCACCCTATGTCTTCTTTCCCTGACACCCTTCCCCCAAGTTCCTTTTTCCTCTGCCTCCCTGAGTTTGCATGCATGGATTCCGTGCCATTTCCCTGGACTTCCTGAGTTTGCACCGCATTGCAAGTTTCCCCCTCTTCCAACAAAGGTGCAATCTTCTCTGTACAGGTAGTCCTCGACTTACAACACCCCGTTTAGTGACCGTTCAAAGTTACAACGGCTCTGGAAAAAAAAAAGTGACTTAGGGCCATTTTTTTCACACTTATGGCCGGGGTGGCATTCTATCGGTTCGGACCAGTTTGGGTGAACCGGTAGTTCCAGGGACCGTTGTCTCACTTAACAACAGAAAATGTGGGCTCAATTGTGGCCATAAGGCAAGGACTGCCTGTACCTGTACCTATGACAGCCGTTCTCAACCTTAGCAACCTGAAGAGGTGTGGGATTCAATTCTGGAGGGGGAATTCTCGGAGTTGGAAGTCCACCCGCCTTCAGCTGGCCAGGACTGAGAGGCCCTGCCTTGCGTTTGGGTTTTGTTCAATTCAAAATGACTCCTGCTCATTTCCACCGAGATCCGAAGACAAAAGAGACATTCCTCTCCTCCATTTAGCCACACCTCTATCCAACGGCCACTTTATTCACAAACTCAGAGCATTAATTTATGGCTAACCCGGTTCCTCATTAACCGGCCTCATTGTCTCCTTTTTAAAAAAATGATAATAATCCTGCTAACAATGTTGGACAGCTTCTCTCTAACAATGATGCTGAATTCCCAGCCGTGTAATCTGCTGCCCTCAGATGGGTAGGGGGCCCTGGGAACAACAGGCACCCGGGAGGAAAAGAGGTCGAGGGGGAGCCTGGCCGACATCCAAGCTAAGCCCTGAGCATGCAAGCAAAAAAAAAAAAAAAAAAAAAAAAAAAAAAAAACCCAAAAACCTGACCCTAAAATGCCCCCACTTACGTGCTCGGCTTCGCACTTCTTGTTTTTCTTCTTCTTCTTCTTGTTTTTGCCTTTCATGTTAGTATCTTCCGAATTCGCCCAGCATTCCACGCAACTGTCCCCATCCTCTTCTTTGTCTTCGCAACGGTGGATGCACGGATCATCCACTGTGAGAAAGAGGAAGAGAGAGGCGCTTGAGCAGAGGCGGCTGGGAGGCCTTCCACCCAAACTGTGCTGCGATGTCCCGAGACCAAATGGGGAAGTAGCATGGATTCATTAAGGTCAAGGTTCCCCTCGCACCTATGTGCTACTCGTTTCCAGCTCTAGGGGGCGGTGTGTTCATCTCCGTGACAAAGCCGAAGAGCCAGCACTGTCCCAAGATGTCTCCGTGGTCATGTGGCCGGCATGACTAAATGCCCGAAGGCGCATGGAACGCTGTTCTCTTCTCGCCAAAAGGGTCCCTATATTTCTACTTGCATTTTTTCACATGCTTTCCAACTGCTAGGTTGGCAGAAGCTGGGACAAGTAATGGGAGCCTCACTCCGTTACACGGCGCTAAGGATTCGAACTGCCAAACAGCCAAAATTTCTGACCGACAAGCTCAGTGTCTTAGCCAATCCCCATAATTTACGTAATGGACTCATTTTGTAAACACAAACGGGCAAGGTTTCACCTCCCGTGAATGCCTTTGAGCCTTAATCTTTCCTAGGTGACTACTAACTAATAATATATAACATATGTTAAACATATGAAGAATGTCCCAAAGGTGCTTTTTTTCCCAAGAGGCAATGGCACTTTTTGGGTTTTCTTGGAAGACGTTTTGCTTTTCATCCAAGAAGCTTCTTCAGCTCTGACTGGACTGTGGGGAATGGAAGGATTTATATTCCTTGCAGACAGCTGTTTTCTTGTATAACAGTGGCCCCCAACCTTTTTTGTGCCACGGCCCGGTACCGGCATCACAAAATGATCCCCGGCCCGGTACCGGCATCAGCACACATGACAAGGCAAGGCAAGCCGAGCGACCGGCCAGCCAGCCGTCCCCCGCTTCTCCCCGCCACCTTCAACTCCTCCTTTGTACCTTTGTCGATGGGCTTCGCTTCGGGACGGTCGCTCGGCTCGCCTTGCCTTGGGTGCTGAAAGAATCCTCGTGCCTTAGTTTCGTTCGAAGCTCCCTCCTTCGATGAAACTAAGGCGCGAGGATTCCTTCAGGACCCAAACGCCGCTTTCCAACTGGAAAAGCTCACCCGGAAGCACTTTCTCGTCAAACAAGATGGCGGCGCCCAGCAAACCGGTGGCCCGGTAGGAAATGTTCCACGGACCGGTACCAGTCCGCGGCCCGGTGGTTGGGGACCCCTGTTGTATAAGAAGCAAAACACCTTAAAAAAAATCAGAAAGTCCAATTGCCTCTTGAAAAAAGCAACTTTGTGACAACCATGATCTGGAGGACATATTTCCATAGTCATATGAAGAACGGTTACAGGAATCGGACATGGCCAGGCTACAGAAAAGGACTAGGAACATGAAAGCAGTAAGCCACTATTTGAGGGGCTGCCACAAAGAGGAATTTATTCTCCAAAGTACCAGAAGGCAGGACAAGAAACAATGGATGGAAACTAATCAAGGAGAGAAGAAACCTGGGATTAAGGAGAAACTTCCTAACAGTGAGGACAATTAACTAGTGGAACAGCTGGCCACTAGAAGTTGTACGGGCTTCATCCCTGGAGATTTTTAAGACTCATCCTGCCCCAAGGGCCTCTTTCTGAATATTCTCTGATCTTTCTGGGATTTATTTGTTTTATTTATATCCCATTTTTATTATTTTTATAAACAACACAAAAATATTTTATAAACAATCTTAATAATGCTTCCTCCTCTCCTTTTCCACATAACAAGCACCCTATGATTGAGAGTGATTGGCCCAAAGTAACCCAGCTGGCTTTCATGCCTAAGGCGGGACTAGAACTCACAGTCTC